GCTTGTTAGCCCAGCATCTACAGTTGTGTCCTGGCAGGAAGAAACTTGTGTTTGAGGGATTTTCTACAAAAAGAATCTAATCCAGTGGTCACCAAGCAGTAGATCTTGGAGCCTCTGACAGGTGATCCTAATTGGTTTGGCCAAGAGGCTATTCTCAAGTGCCAGAACTTCAGCTGCCCCTCCCCTGCCCTTTCCCTTGGAGCTGTCTCCCCGGGAGCCTCCTGCTTGCTGGGCAGGGTAGGGGAGGTAGAAGAGGGGCACTGATGTCAAGGTGCCTCCGCTCCCACATTGTATCCTATCTCCACAGAGCAGAGAGGGGGCACAACAGGACTTGGGAGGGAGTTTTCTGGCTGCTTTTGGGAGTGGTGCAGGGCCAGGGCAGAGATGAGCCTGCCTTAGCCCCACTGCACCACCACCCACGAGCCACCTGAGGTACAGTGTCCAACTGGAGCGCGCATCCTGAAACCCTGAACCGCCTCCTGCACCCCTAGCCCTGAGCACTCCTGCATCCAAATGCCCTCCAGAGCTGGCACCTAGAACCCCTTCCGACACCCCACTGCCTGCAGCTCAGAGCCCCTCTTGTACCCTTAATCCAAGGCCACAGCCTGCACCCCAACTCTCTGCCCCAGCCTAGTGAAAGGGAGAGAGGATGGAGTGAGCAGGGGCAGGGCCTCAGAGAAGGGACACAAAGGAGGTGGGGCCAGGGTATTTGAGTTTCAGGTAGTTCTTGGATTGCACTTAAATTCAAAAAGTGATCCCAAGCATAAAAACGTTGGAGACCACTGATCTAATTAGTATCAACTGTTAATTCTGGTGTCTGACTTAATAGGCTTGACCTCTTGTTCTAACCATATTCCATCCGGACAGTGGTCACCTTTTAGACCAGAGGTGGGCAAAAATTTCAAAGTGGTCATGGGCCACCCTAGAAGAGGCAGGGCCTTGGGCGGAAGGGGCGGAGCCTTTAAATAGAAACTCTTTCAACTGCTTCAATTTAAAGGGCTTGCGCCTTCTCCACTAGCCCTTTCAATAGAAGCAGTTGAGAGGGCTCACGTATGCCCTGTTCCCAGGCAACACATTAGGAGGCGGGACCAGGAACTGCCACGCAGGCCCGATAAAAGAGTGAGGGGGCCCAATTCGGCCCACTGACAGGCTCTTTCCTAGCTCTGGTTAAAGAAAGTCATCCCTAGTATATACCTTCTTTGTTCCCTATTTTAAGTATACCTTAATGTTTTTACTCTTAATATATGTTTGACTTGTTGATGGTGACTACTGAAAATTTTGTGTGCATCAAGCATTTAAGCTTCAGTTTGAAAAGTATGAGTTCCATGAGTAAATAGATCAGGAAGAAGTTAAATGTAAGTGCCTATCAGAACTTACTCAGTTAATGATGGTTAGGTTGAATGGCAGTGGAGGATTGCATGGTGTGTGTGTTTTGTCTGAAGAAAATGAAAACTTGAAAGAAGATTTGGAGCCATCAAACTCTCCACATTGTTATCCAAGTGACTGCATGATCTTACTCTTCTTAATCTTCTGTCTCCCAAATATAGCTTCCTATAGATTAGAATACACAGATGTAGTATCGTGTGTCAAATAAAGTCCTGATCTTGCATCGAGGAGCATATGGGTGCACTCTGCACCTGCGTAGCGCCCAGGGCATGACTTAATGTAGGATCAGGACATTATATATTTGGCAGCTTGGAACAGAAATCATGGCTTCTTAAGAGTTTGTTCAGCACTTTTGGCTGTGATCCTGATTGAGGCCTTTGGCCACTGCCAGAATACAAATAATGACGTTCAGAACTCCAGGCGAGTCTTCCTGGTAAAAAAACGCTGCATTAATCACTGAGCTCAACGGCTACGTGTTGACTCAGTGAGCAAGCGGAGCAGAACGCGAGGGTAGATTTTGCTAACAGTTCATTAACTGTTCATCTCTCGATTCGTGCATGAGGTTCTACCAATTAATATGGATGAAGGTACGATGACCTAAGCTGTTGGACAGCTCGACAGATATCCTGCCAGTCCCAGAAATCCTGTCAGGCCCCAAACTCAAGGAGAGTCAATGTGCTACCCCGGTTATCTTGTTGAATTGGAATGCACAGTCAGTGGGACAAGAGCCTCGCCAGCCCCTGGGCAATGTGGGGGAAGGGATGACTCTGCTCCATGCTTTTGGAAGGGGCGGGGCCTTGGACTGAAGGGGCGGAGCTGAGGCTCAGTGCTGCCTGGAACACATCATGTGGCGCTGTAGCAGCAATTTAAAGGGCCTAGGGTTCTGGCTGCCACAGTAGCAGTGGGAGATTCAGACCCCTTTGTATTTCTGGGCCCTCCGCCAGTTGTTCCCTTTGTCCCTTCTCCCCCCATTGGCAGGTCTGCCCACAGTTCAGGGGCCGATGTAATATGATTTGGGTACATTCAGGCTCGGCCATCGCAGTGACTCTAGATGAAGATTGATTTCAGTTTTGCTGCAAATGGTTGAATTCCGTTTTAACCCTGTTTTCCTCTGCTCCCCGTTGGGAAGGTTGACAGTGAATTGCTCCCAAATGTGGCCTTCAGTAACAGTAACCTCTAAATAACTGCCACTCAAGAACAGACTGTATAGAAACAGATTAAAAAGCGTACGGATGCATGCCCTGAACTTTGAATCCGTTTATTTCTATCCTGAGGAGATGTGTGGATTCTCTGTTTGACTGATGTAAAAAGGGGAATAAAGGGAACATAACTAATACAACATGGAGATGGTATCATGAGCTTTTGTGGCCACAGCCCACTTCTTCAGATGACCGGAGAAGTGGGCTGTGCCCACGAAAGCACATGAAACCATCTACTTGTTTCGTTAGTCTATAAAGTGCTACCAGACCATTTGTTGTTTTTTAAGTTTATCCAGTACAGACTAACTCAGCTACCCCCTTAAGCTTCTGATAACGAATAGAGTATAGGTGTGTGGAATCCTAGGCCTTTCCACATACTCTGTATTGTGTAAATAATGAAGAAAGCTAACTGTCCTTTGCATTCAAATAAGCATGTCTAACAATAGCCTGTCAGGTTGTTAGTTAGCTTGCATAAATCAAGTAACTTATCAGTGCCCATCAGAAACCTATTCAATAGTAAAATGTCCCATATGGATACACATAGCAGGCTAGCTACTCAGACTTGTATGGAAGAACTATTTATTCATACTCAGATCTGCACATCCCCTTCTGTCCAAGTCCTCGAGGGACTGCTACCAGCATGTTGTTCAAGTTGCTAATTAAGGCGATAAACTATGGCAAGCGAGACTGGGCCCAAGTATTCTCCATATCCTTGAATTGCTAGTCATTTATTTGGCCAGTGTTCACTGGAAAAGAGCAGCACCATAATCTTGCTTTTATTTATTACGTTAAAATGAAAATGAAGTGGGTTGTAACCACGAAAGCTCATGATACTTTGTGTTTTTGATAAGTCTCTGACGCGCCACAAGACTACTCCATTTTATTATTAAAATTAAAAATAACAAACTTTCATGTTGCAGTCGCGCACGGTCGTTAGATTGGAATATTGCTGCTTTGTACTAATCACACCAGTAGTGAAATTATCATACATTATCTACCACTTTGTTTCCAAAGAACTTTAAAATGTATTAGCCGAACATTTAGTAGTGGTTTTACAGGAATTGTGTGGGTGCTGTCTGGGATATAGTTTAGACTTCTGCGTTTCCCATGTCTGCCATAGACCTGTGCGTAATGTTGGACAAGTCACCTTGTTTGGCCTCAGTTTCTCCACTGGTAAAAATTAGAGGAATTATGGATATCCACCTCACCAGTATGTTGTGGTGGTTGCGGTAAAAGCAAAGAGAAACTACTGCTCTGTCGTCATGCCTAAAAATGGCTCCCATGTTTTAATAAAGTTTTGTTTTAACTTTAGAAATGTCAGATTCTGGCTTCTCATTGGTGGAAGTCCTGGCAATCTTTGAAAGATCTAAATGGCTGCTTAGTTCTTCATCCGCCTTGTCCTCTCTAATGGGCCTGAGAGACCTCCAACTCAAGTTTAATCACTGAGCTTATGATGTCACCATTTGGGTCCTCTGACGGCTGTCTGACTTTTCCAGCAAAAAGAGGGAGGTCAGGCCCTGATATTTGTAATGGAATTTAAAAATCATCCAACCTTGCAGGGAGGGGAAAACCTCTTGAAAACAAATATTGAGGCATCTGTTAGAAGAGGAATAAGGGAGAGAAGCATTTTGTTTCTTGGCTTATACCCTTCATTGTTTGCACTGGCACTTGAGACCTCTGCATGAATGGATCTGCAGAAGTGCAAAGTACTCTCTGTTCATATTCCTTTTAAAAATAAAGGGGTGCTACTAGCTGGAACTCGCTGCAATACTGCAATTTTAGAATACGTTTTACAGGTTTATTGATTATTATACAGAAGCCGGGAGAGGACAAAGAGAAATAGGGTCCCAGCCCTGCTCTGTGAGCCCGGCCTTGATGACATAAAGGGCCATTCCCACTCAACAGCTTGCAGGATTGAGGTCTAGAAAAGAAGGAAAACCTGCCATTCACATGCCATTTTTGTCTTTTTACGATCAAGGACGTTCAAGCCACCTGTTTTCACGCATGCATGTGGTCTCCTAGCTCGGGGTGGGGAACCTCAGAACTGGGGGCCAGGTGTGGCCCCTGCTTACCTGAAACTGGCTTCCCGAGGCTCAGGGGCCACCTCCCAGCAGTGGGGAGCCCACGCTGGCGCTCCATCCCCACTGCTGCTTCACCGTAGGTCTGGAGCACACAGTCTACTAGGCTGGGCCCCGCTAGTCTCTGGTGTGGGAGGAGAATGTAGGGAGTGTCTTTCCCCCCTTTTCAGGGGACACATCAGAGAGGGTTTCTTTTTTTGCTTCTCAGTTGCGTGCGGCCCCTGACTGATTTTTCCAAAAAAGGTTCCCTGCCCCATCCTAGCTAGGATGTGCCTATGTAAAACCTTCTTTTGGTATTGTCTGACCTAAGCCATAACACTTCCATCTCCCTTGACAGTTGCACTATAAAGTCTCTTCAGCGACGTCATGTTTGCATCAGCCGCCTGGAGAGGCCTCAGAACTGGGGGGAAAACTCCTGTGAAGTGAGATTTGTGATATTGGTTCTTGCGCCTCCCAAAATGGTGAGTTTTCTCCATCATGTGCTTTGATGACTCAGAATGCTTCCTTATGGTTTTCTTGTGGGGCCCTACTAGGGTGCATGGCTACCTGTTTTCTAGCCACAGCAGGAAGGGGGCAGGACTGAGGTCACCACAGTGATTGTCAGCTAATATCTCCTTCCTGTTCAGCAGCGAGCACAAGGTATAAACTTATGACAAATGACTTCCTGTCTAGCATTGGACAATGGTCTGTGAGGTTGACTATGACTGATCTGGTAGCCTAGCTCTTGCCTCAATTTGTAGCCTGTATCAATATGCTAGTTGCTAAGTAAAGCATGGATATAAGTTAAGGTAGTGATGTAATTTGCCTCCAAAACCTGTAACATGATAGCTTAGCAAACAAGGCCAAAGGTTCAAAAGCCTTAGCTTAGCAGCTAACCTGGAGTAACCCTAGATCAGTCTAGTCCTACACTAAAGGGGAAGTCGAATGAAGATATGCAACTCCATCTATGTTTAATTACGTAACTAGAGTTGATGTACAATGTTTTTCATTTCCCTGCCATTCCCAAACACTTCCATCGGCTTCCCTTACTCCTCATGCAAGCAGGAGTACCAGCAGCCAACAGGGGCGCCCTCTGAATTCGATTTAGCGAGTCTTAACTAGACTTGCTCAATCAAACTCCAGAAAATTGATCGCGGCAGCGTCAGTCTTCTCTCTAGGGAAGACATGGCCTCAGGCTTCAGTGGTTCAGGAGCCAAATTAGTGATCAGCATTCCCCCAAAGAGCTACAGTCGTGTGAAATCATTGTTCCATTTGCTATGGTACTCTAGTTTCACATTTAAACAGGATGGTGAGCAATATATATGATTATCTCAGAAAATAAATTAATAACTTAGTGCAAGTGGATTGGTCAAGAACATGGTAAAAGCATCCTCATAGGTTAACAACGTAGCCTGGTTAATAATTAAATCACAGTGTTTTACTATCATGTGCTGCAAAGAGCTACTGGAGACACGCTAAAGAGTCACTTACAGCTTTTGAGCCTTTATCAATGCCCTAGATCAGGGATGAGGAATCTAAGGCCCGGGAGTCAGATGCGGCCCCCCCAGCTTGCCTGGATCCGGCCTCCGAGGCTCAGGGCTCCCCACGGCATTAGGGAGCCCTCACTGGCTCTCCAGGCCCCACTTCCCCCCTACCCCCACTATTCTCCTGCAGGACTGGAGCATGCAAAATCTATTCATCTGGGCCCCCCAGGCTCTGGTGTGTGAGGGGTAATGTGGGGAGCATCTTTCTCCTTTTCAGTCCGGGGCTTCTCACTTGTGAGTGGCACCTGACCGATCGTTCCCCACCCCTGCCCTGGATCATAAGATGGAATGCTGTCATGGCTACATTCCTGACCGGGAACCACAACATGTTAGTTGTTACCGTCTGGGGCTGTTTTAAGGTAGTAACCTCAGCAGATGTCTGGCACAAGCCTGCCATGCTGCCCAATTGACGCAAGTGTGAGGTAAAAGCTCTATTAGCCAATGGGAGGAGGGCAGCCCAGTCGTAGGCAGATGAGGAAATGCAAATAAGGAAAAGGGGATGAACCCACCATTGTGCATACATTAGGCAAAGGGGCATCAGCATCACACATTATCAAAGGGGTATCCTGGCCTGTGCTCTTGGGGGGAGGCAAATCTTGGGGGATGCCAGATGACGAGGAAGGCGTTGATGATAAGATGGTGACCAACGGTTCAGGTTGTCCTGCAAGGGGTAGAGAGAGGGGATGGGTGCTCAGACATTCATACTGCATGAGCGCTCTCTACCTTGCTGGTGGGTCATTTTACTAACTGTGCTACTAAACTTACGGCAGATAACAGAAGGTTTGTCCAATTCTGGGGCCCCCATTACTAAAAGGATGTGGATGCATTGGAGAAAGTCCAGCAGAAGGCAACCAAAATGATAGGGGGCTGGAGCACATGACCTATGAGGAGAGACTGAGGGGGTTGGGTCTGTTTAGTCTGCAGAAGTGAAGAGTGAGGGGGGATTTGATAGCAGCCTTCAGCTCCCTGAAGGGAGGTTCCAAAGAGGCTGGGGAGAGGCTGTTCTCAGTAGTGACAGATGCAGAACAAGGAGCAATGGGCTCAAGTTGCAGTGGGGGAGGACTAGGTTGGATGTTAGGAAAAATGATTTCCCTAGGAGGGTCGGGAAGCACTGGAATGGGTTCCCTAGGGAGAGGGTGGACAGGGTTCCCTCTAAGTGGGCGTGCAGAAAAAATTTCCACTGCTCCCACCTCCTACACAGAGCCCTGCTAGTGACAGATGCAGAACAAGGAGCAATGGGCTCAAGTTGCAGTGGGGGAGGACTAGGTTGGATGTTAGGAAAAATGATTTCCCTAGGAGGGTCGGGAAGCACTGGAATGGGTTCCCTAGGGAGAGGGTGGACAGGGTTCCCTCTAAGTGGGCGTGCAGAAAAAATTTCCACTGCTCCCACCTCCTACACAGAGCCCTGCAGCCGCACAGCGGGTGTCAGGAGCCTGCTCCAGCGGCCAGGGCCAGAGGAGCTGCATGGCAGAGGAGCCTCAAGCCTCATGGTGAGCAGCAGAGGGCTGCTCTAGTGGCTGGGGTTGGAGTCACCGCGTGGGAGCCTGGGGCCAGGGCCAGAGGAGCTGCATGGGGGAGGAGCCTCAAGCCTCATGGTGAGCAGCAGAGGGCTGCTCTAGTGGCTGGGGTTGGAGTCACCGCGTGGGAGCCTGGGCAGGAGAGTGGCAGGACAGGTACCGGGGTCTGTACCAGTGGGGGAGGCAGTGAGGCCAAGGACAGTGGGGGCCCAGCACAGAAACTGGCTGGGTGGGAGGCAAAGGCACCAGCTGTCTGGTGGTGGGGAGGTACTGGGCGCAGGTAAATTCCGGGGGGGGGGGGGGCAAGGTGCCGGGCACACGTCCCTGGGCGATTTGGGGAGGCAGAGAAACAGGTGAGGTGCAGGGCTGGGCACAGGTGTCTGGGCAGTGCTGCTTGGGCTGTGGGCTCTAGGTCCAAGTACTAGCTGTTCATATTTGGGGGGCAGATAGCATGGGTCTGGCGTATATACTGCTGGCATATTGGGAGTCGGGGGCAAATTGCAAGGCTGGACACAACTATAGGGTGGCTGTGTATGGTCCTGGTGGGCGTGCAAGCAGTGGGGCACGCACAGTGTGTGTTGGGGGCAGGGGACTGCAAGCTGGATGCTTTTCAGGGTGGGTAGGTGCAGGGTCATGCACCTTGTCAACTAGCCGGTTTTTAGTATTTTTTTCTGACATAGCAATTTAAAATAGGCGCGTGTGTGTGTATAATTTTGTTCGTAACTGGTGGGTGCCACAGCAGCACACATCCAAACGAGCGCACATGACGTCAATATTAGTGCCCAAGACAAAACTCACTCCGCTCACGGATGGAAAATCTGAGCGGGAACCCCTGGGGGTGGAGTCTCCATCCCTAGAGGTTTTTAAGTCTTGGCTTGACCAAGCCCTGGCTGGGATGATTGAGTTGGGGTTGGTCCAGCTTTGGGCAGGGGGCTGGATTCGATGACTCCTGAGGTCTCTTCCAGCCCTAGGATTCTAAGTCCAGGTCTTGCAACCATGCACTTTGGGGTTCCCAACTGTAATAATACTGGTCCTGATTTGGGGCCTACCAAACCTCATTGTGTTTGGACATTCTTAGGTCATCAGTATAATTAATGCACAATGAGTAGACTAGGCAACAAACGCCCTGTCGTCATACAGGGCGTCTGAGCTCAAGTTCTACTGGAGGATCCCAGTTATTGAGTCAGTGGAGATCAGGTGCTGAAGCAGTGGACTTATGGGGGGCATGAGCCGCACTGGGATCTGGACTGCCTCCTGCTGTTTGAACTATAGAAATCTGAACCTTTCTCTCACTTCAATCTCTTTAGCCATACTCCAGCCATACGCGCTCTGAACTCAGTATGGCGGTGGGTTTTTGAAGCCGGGAGAATGGTTCGGTACTTAATACACTGAACTGGGACTTGCAAGACCAGGGTTCAAATATCGGCTCCACTGCAGACTGAGCAAGACCTTGGACAAGTCACTTCTGCCAGGTCTATACTAGACCTGGAAGGTTGGGTTAAGGTACACAACTCGAGCTACATAACTATGGTGCTGGAGTTGGTTTACCTTAGGCTGAGCTTGGCGCCGTCCTCACAGAGGGAGGCTGAGGAGCAAACACTCCCATTGGCTTCCCTTAGTCTTCACAACTACGAGGAGTACCGGTGCCGACCAAAGCCACCCTCAGCGTTCCATTTAGCGGGTCTTAATTTGACTTGCTAAATCAAACGCCAGAAGATCGATATCTCATGTGGCAAGTGAAGATGGGGCCTAAGGTCAAGATTTTAAAAGGTGTTCCTGAGTTCAGCATTACAATGCCTAACTAATTTGGAAGCCTGAGACTCATTTTCAAAAGAATTTAGACAAAATCTCTATTTGAAAATGGGATGTAGGTGCTGCAATGCTGGATCCAACAGTGCCAAAGTACCTTTAAATACCTGGGCCTTAATCTCTCTGCCTCAGTTCCCCCTCTGTAAACATGGGATAATAGTGTTTTCCCTATTTCCTGGGGTATGTGAGGAGAAATTCACTAAAATTGTGAGGCACTCAGCTGAAGGTCATAGAAAAACTGATTGATTTTTTGTTTGTTTGTTTATGTCCAGTCTGGTTCGGCAGTTTCAGACTTAATTTTTTCCTTGTTTATATAAAAATACTTTTAGTACCAATCGCATGGATGTGTGAAACTGTTCACACTAAATACAAACGTACATATGTCGCCCTTGGAATGCAGCAAACTGAGCCCACTCAGCTGTGTTGATTTTGGGTTTCAGTGTCTACAAACTGTATTTGTCTAGAGCAGCGGTTCTCAAAGCAGGGTCGGCCTGTGAGGATATGCCAGGAGGTTCACGAGTCATGTCCAGGGCTGAACAACTCCTCCACCTCCCTCCCAGTGCCTCTTACACCACAGACTAGCTGTTCAGCAGCATGAAGGGGGTGCTGGCAGGGAAGGGCATAGGGTAGAAAGAGGTGGGGAAAATGTGAGGGTGTGGGATCTTGGGGGAAGGGTAGCGTTGGGGGCAGGGCCTAGGGCTGTTGAGCACTCCTGGAAAAAATTAGAAGCTGGGTGAGGTCCATGGAAAAATTTCAAATCAAAATGGGAGTCCTCGGGTTGCTAAAGTTTGAAAACTGCTGGTGTAGAGTGCACTTTGCTAAGTTAGTGACTCAGGGGCACTCTTTCTTCGAAGGCAGTGCTGAGCTCAGCATGGCTGTGCGGTAGAGAGTGGTGCGGGTGATGAGGGGGAGCTAAGCACTCTGCAGACAGCTGTGAAGAGCCTATGGTACAAGGTAACTGCATACAAAGAAAGGAGAGCTAGCAATGTTGCCTAGGTCTAGGGTTCTCTAATGCAGTGTACAGGGCCTTTGGGGGTAGCTGGGACCCAAACTCTCTATGCAGGATGAGATTGCATTCCCTGCGTGGCACCTCCCTTTTGAAGCTTTGTGTGTCTGTGCTCCTTAGTGGTGCATCAGAAAAGCCCAGGATTCTTTGCCTGCCAATCTCATGTATCTAATTCATGAAAGTGAATTTATCAAAGCACCAGTGAAAGGATTCATTAAAATGAAAATATAAAAGCAACGACTGTGTTTGTGGAGTAGCTGAACAATACTCCTGTAAGGCTTTGGCGTTCTTCAGCGGAGGAGCATTTCTGGGCCGTCGAGGTGGAGAGGCAGTAGGGGACATTCACCACAGCAAGGACAGAGAGGATTGAAGTATTGTCAGGAAGACACTTCCACAACAGTCCTAGTTAGTTTTTTTTTCCAAATGTCTATGAAATTCATTCTTCTGAGACGTGTTTCCTATGAGACACGGTCACAATAGTTCTTATCCCTCTGGATGTCGCTTTCGACACCTACCTCTCAACTTTGCACCTAATGTCGTACAAGCAATCCATTGATACGCACTTGCAAATGATACACTTAACATCACGCTGGATTTTGGATTAAGCCCCAAATGCTAAAATCTACATTAACATAATGCCATGCTTGAGATTACAATGCACAAACCTGTGCCCCTTTCAATATTCCCCTGTAAGAAATGGTCTCTCTGACTCTAAAAGGCAGAATTTACTGGCTCTTCCTTCCCTGCTTTGGGGGTGCGTGCTAGCAGCAATTTCAAGGGAACTGTGTAATGTTGTGTTCTAGTCTTGGCCGTCAAGTGAAGGAAGACTGGTGCCTTGAGTGGTGTTTTGTTTTGAAGTTTTACGGTTTCTAAATAATGTAAGAGTTTGTTACGATCCTTAATCTCCACATCATTTGCTTTTCTCAGAAAAGTACGAAAACTGCCACCGAAGTGGGCCGAACCTTTGCCACGATGTTTTCGGATATAACTTTTCGACAGAAGCTTCTAGAAACAAAAACGGAAGAGGAGTTTAAAGAAGCCTTGGTACACCAGCGCCACCTGCTGACGGTGGTGAATCAGAGACCCTCTGCAGTGAACGAGGGGCACAAAACACACAACCACAAGCCGCTCAAGGTAAGGATGAGAAAAACGTTTTAAGTCCTGGCTTTCTACTACTGTTCCTGTCTAAATAAAACACAGGACCTGATGACGTACTCGCACTATCAGGACTTGACGATTGGATGTGAGCTCTAAAGCCCACCCAACTCCTTAGGCCTTCAGAGCTTGAGTGCCAACCTACCCTGGAATGTCCAAATGCAGTTTTAGCCCCCACTAGCACAAATCTGTCGGGCTGGGCTAAGACTCACTCCCAGAAGCCATGTAGACCACCCCTTGTGTGTTACTGCCAGGCTAGTTCTGCTAAAATATTCTTGTTTCTTAGGCCATTGAAATAAATCTCTTTTGCAACGGTGCAAAGAGGTTCAAAAGCACGGGGTTTCCTTTTGAGTTCCTTATAGATGCAATGAATCTTGTTACTTGGAGGTCTAAACACAACTTCCTACTGAAAATTAAAGACAACCCCTTCAAATTATGATGCTTCATGAGGGCTAGGGTGGATGGGTTACTATAAATTGCCAAGGAGAGCAAATGCACGTTAGCATCTTCAATTAGGAAGATGGCAAGACTGTCCCTGAAGAATCTTCATCTTTACTGAGATGGTGAGCAGCACCTGTACCAGTTTGGATCTGAGGGTTTCGTGGCTCTCCTCTAGGAGAAATTCCCGTGGAGAAGCTACGTTTCTCAGTGAGCGAGCTGGGTCTCTGCTTTCTTCTCTGGGGCGCTCGTAATGTCATTCTTGCACCCAGTCTGTCCGCACGCAGGTTTTATTATCCAAGCTGTGTGCTGCTTCTCATCTCTCGCTCTTTTCCCTAGACTGCAAGAGCCGTGAAGCGCTGAGCAGCTTACGGTGTTCAGAGTGGAAACTTTCATCCCAAATCCATGTTCTGGCTGGTTTTCAGGGCCTAAAACATGATGGTTTAGGACCAGAGGTGGAAATAAGGCTCCAATAAGAGCTGGCTGGGGCGCTCTGTTGCAGGCTTGCGGTGCACTCTCCCAGCTGGGCTCCCGTGGGGCCCCGTGGCTCCTGCTCCAGGCTGGCCCTGGCAATAAGCAGCGGTGAGGCAGGCAAGTGTGAAAGGCGACTGGCTGGGGATGCTCGGGAAGAAGTATGGGTGCTTCTAGCTGGGTTCTTGATGCACTCATGCTTGCCTCTCACTGGATGCTGGGCAGCACGCATGCAATCCCCTGTATGCTGCTGCTGGGGGTCCTTAGGAAGAAGCCAGGGAAGGGAGTGGCAAGCCAGGGGGTCTCACAGGCCAATGCTGCCTGTTTGCCTGCAGCAATGCACCCGCGCAGATGGCCCACTGCTCTCTTGGCAACTAAGAGGTGCAGGGAGGCAGGGACCCATCCACCAGCCAAGTAAAGTTAACTTCGCCCCTACCCTTCCAAACACACCCAGCACTTCTCCCTCGCCACCTGCCCTGAGCCTCCCCACACTCCAAGCCCCTGCCCTGACTCTGCATCACTCCCAGCCCCTGCCATGACTCCTCCCCCCCCCCCACACTCAGCCTCCCCATGCTCCCAGCCCCTGCCCTGACTCCTGCCCCCCTCACACACACACTCAGCCTCCCCGTATCCTGCCCTCAGCCTCCCCACTCTCCTAGCCCCTGCCCTGACTCCTGCCCCCCTCACACACACACTCAGCCTCCCCGTATCCTGCCCTCAGCCTCCCCACTCTCCTAGCCCCTGCCCTGACTCCTGCCCCCCCACACACACACTCTACTCCACACTTACAGTTCTTACAGGCACTGTCGTATAGTAACCCAACCCCCAGCTCTGAGACCTCCCCAAAGAGGGGTGATACAACAGGACCTGTGAGAAATGTAAGTTACTTTCATCCCTGAAACAAGTAAAAATGCCAAAGGGCATTCTGCCTTTATCCCAGGCTGCAGAATCCCCTCTTCTAGAGACAGGTCTCTAACTGGTGACTCTGGAACGCCTCTTAACCCTGTTCACACTGGAGTTCAGATTTGCAAAACCGGTTTAAAACACTTTTCAAACTGGTTACAACAGATTTGAAGCTATGCTTTCCTCCAGCGCAGGTTTAACCCTTTGCTCCCTTTCCTCTGAAGCTATTTCTGTAAACACTGGGGCATGTCACACAGTGGCGTGTCACAGGTGGAAACCACAGCCTCTGTGTGAAAAGTGTAAGGTGACTAGAACTTGAGGGGTGGCTATTTTTCTGATGTCTTCAGGTTGTTTGTGTGGTGGGCAGACATGTTCCAATTTTAATCTTTCTTTATTTGGCAGTTTCTTTTTTGACCTAGGGACTTTAATAGGCAGTACTTCATGGATTACCCCTAACCAGCATAGCTGAAATGCAAAACTTTTAAGTGTCAGTCAGGCCTTAGTGTCCTCCAGAGCATTTTCTCTGCCTAAAAAAGATGCCTAGCTTTGGGCTGTTTCCCTGGATGCACATTGCCTGTATCATTCATCTACATGGGAATGAACTTCATTGACATTGACTGCTCATTACGGGTGCTCCATCTGACAGGTTTAAAAAAAACCAGGGAAAGACAATATCGTCAGTGCTTCAAAGCAGACAGGCGTTCAGGAAACTGAAATGTAATTATAGCCTGCGAGCCACCCCCAATGAAATAAAATACCGTAAGCCACTACAGACAACAGCCTCTCTATCAC